TGGTATATAGCAGAAAAGAGACAGGGGAAGAAGAACAGGAGACTTGCTAAATCCCAGTGAATTCCCATTACATACACATAATATGATTTTTCAAATCCAAGTTCAACAGTAATTTTGTGATTAAGCAAAACCAAGAGAGATCCAAAAGGAGATTTACAAGACGATGTTAAGCGGGAAAATTCCAGATTTTCCTGGAAGCAGTTTTGTCATCCTTCAATGTAATAGCCAGTGGTGGATTTAATCCCCTCAAATTAGTCCCTTGCTAATCCTCACTAACCTCACACAGAGGTCACTCATGTCCAATTTGAAGATGCATAAAGAACACTTTGTAATTGCGTGTGCAAGGCCCACAGCTTATTCTCCTGCATGCTCTTTTCGCTGCACATCAGATTCAGAAAGTCAATCTCCAGTCCACACAGTACACCAGCTTGACAGATTGCAGTGGTGTAAACTATTTGAAAGTAAAATACATGTTGGATACATGTAACACATGGACTCTTAACTGCAAGATTTACACCAAGAGATTTGTTGCAATCATAATGTAAAAATTCTCTATAAAAAGGTACAGTACGGATGGCTTTAATTTAAGTGTTGGGGCCTGCAGTATTAGAAATCCTGTTTATAGAAGTGTATTCATACCTCCCAGGTTGACGCCCAAATCCTCATCTACTCTATTCTACCGTACGCCACAGTTGAATGGATGGGGACGTGACAAATCTGAATGAGCGTTGTGCTGGCTGGACACAACCGGCGTGTGACCTTGTGCCGCTATCACATCACATCTTGGCTGTTTGTCTCAACTGTATTATGCTGGATTATGCTGACCTATGGCCCTGTCCCCGGTCAAATTTAAGCTTGAGGCACTTAATTCTAAGCATATTTTGCCAATGCCAAGCGAGAGTATCGGTGGTGTTTCTGGTTCTCAGTCAATGCTACCTATTTCCCCGTAGTCATACTGTTTATGACAGTTTATAGTGGCAAAGAGAGCAAAATGAATTCAGATCTTTCCTGTGGGCTTGGTCAACTGCTTTGATGGTTCTAACATTAGGGATGTTGTTCTTTACTGTCGCTGCCTTCATTTCCCATGTATTTGTAATGTCAGCGGGTGGTTAAAGATTTTTACCGGACCCCACTCAACGTATGACACACAAATCATGCAAATTCACAACACAGAGGAAGTAGACGTGTTGGATTATACAGGACAAGCAAGGCCATACTTGTAACCTACAGGGATCCACACAAACACAAGTGTCTCAAAATCAATACATTGATGAAGGAGCAGCACAACCACACAGCACACAGAGCACAGACCTGCGAACTGAAGTGGGGTCTTGCGTGACAGAACACAGTGTAAGCTTATACTAATGATTGCTTTTGCACAGCAGCTTTGCTCACATCTTCTCAAAAACATGCAGAGAGGTGACCACACTCAGAGAGTATGACAGGCTGGTACTGCAACCAATCAGAAGCCCTGAAATTATTTAAATGGCAGTTTGTTGCAGTTTACAAGCTTTGCATCTCCCCACCCATACGATTTTGTTTATTTCTGTGTAAATGCCATGCTGCTCCACAAGTTGTTGTTTTTTTTTAAAGTTGAAACATGTAGTTTATTTAACAAATGCCCCAAACTGGCTTGTTCCACCTTCCCAAATGTGAGGATTAACTGCTTTTTCTCTGTTTTATATAATTGAAAATCTTTGGCTTTTGGACTGTTTGGCAGACAAAACAGGCAATTTGAAGATGTCATATTGGGCTCTGGGGAACTACGATGGGCAATTAATTAATTAATCAAGAAAATAAGAACATAATAATAATAATCTGATTCATGGATAATAAAAACAATTGTTAGTTGCAGAAATTTTGTAATAGGTTTGTTAAATGTTTGCAATGCTTCTTGGTGTAGAGAGGAGTCAGAGAGAAATTCCATTTTATTCCATGTTTACTTCATTCAGGGTAGTAGCTAGCTAATTTACTGAACTCCAAAGTAACTCCCTCGAGTGATGACATTTCTTGTACTTGAGAGATTTAGTAAACAGGCTCAAACATCCTCAGTGGTGTGTTTTTTTTTATTTTTAGACTTTACATGTGGAAAAAAATTGTGTTGGCCTATATTTTAATCCCTTCCATCAACATTGTGTGCCGCACAGACACATTGCCGTCTCCCTCTCTGTGGCCTCAGTGCACCTCATAAACAGTGATGGAAACTGAGGTCTGTTTAGCATAAGTTCTGGCGACATAGGACCTGCTCTTCACGACAGGAACTTGGTACCTCTGAGTAACTTTCAAGTCCTTCAGTGAGTCAGACACAGACCTCAATGTACTCTCTGAGCCTGAACTTATAAACTCTCTCCCGCCACACCCACACTCTTTAACATCTCTCTCTGACTGTCTTGTTTCTTAGGGCCTTAACTTGTTTATTTGCATAATAACATTGGCACATGCATAGAAAAGTTGTAAAATTATGTAATATTATTTGTACTATTACTAATTGGAGTGCTAGACATTGTTGTTCTGAGTATATTTCAGCAGTGGTAACAACTGAAACACCTCAAATAGTTCATCCTCATATAGCCCTACATCACAATGAAGGTTATCCTGTATAATCCTGTGACCTGACCGGTGATCTACACCTGGAGCCTCTATTATTAAGAACTCTATTAATAGACTGTTACCTCATGGCTACCTGCTGCCACTAGCAGACTTTTCAAACTGGTGCCCCTGTAATACAAACCCAAACAAATCCAACATTGTGTTAATGAGATTCTACATTTTTCCTCTGTGACCTCGGTGACTCAGCATGACCCAAAGTTCGCAGAGGCTTCCCAGCAAAGTGAAATGGTCCCTGGGAGTTTGGTAAAGCTCTCTGCAACCTTCACACACGTCACCTTATGACTTGCTTGCTCTGTTGTTCAGTCTTTTTTGTTGTGTTTTTTGATTATGCATTAGTTAAAAGAGGAAAGTGCAGACAAGCAGTCGATCCTTTTTTATTTCTGCCTGGTGAGAATAATTTGCAATTCAAAGTGCAACTTGCTATTTTCCACTCTTGTTGCAATCCTCCAGGAATGTGTACCTTACCTCTATTAGTTAACTTCATGTCTTTATGTCTTTGTTTCCCCCATTCTCTCTTTATCTGCTTTGCCCCATGTGTGTTCTGTTCTCTCCTGATATGCCATCAAACTATGATGAATGTGAAGACACACACACACAGACAACAGAGGGAGAGAGAGTTCTGCTAAATTAAGAATAAAGATGTAGGCAGCCAAAGAGATACTGGGTGCATTGAGACAGCCATCCTGTAAGCTAGTGTCTAATTTTAGCCCGTCAGGGCAGTGCACCGTATCTCCCTGTGGATGAGTTGAACTATAGAGGGATCTGAGCATCAGCTCAGCCTCTTGTTCTCTCATCTGTTCTGTGTGTGGACACTGTCCTTTGTGCAGAAAGGTTACAGGACAGTCACAATAGACCGGGGTGGATTCAAAGAGCTTTTAAAAACACCTGGGCTTTAGGGGAGTTTTAACAGCAGATTTTGCATTTGTATGGCAAAACTGGTTCAGAAATATCTCAGAACACATGTCAGCCCAACATGAAGTCCATGTTCTTTTCTGAGAGATAGAGTGATTGCACTCTATGAGAAGAGGTAGTAAGTAGCCGTTGCAATTTGGTCAAAAGAGGTCAGTATTTTTCCCAAATTCTCTGGTACACAAGCCAGAAAAAGCAAAAATAGAACTGATGAGTAAAATAAAAGGCAAATAACACCAAAAGAAATATTAGAGCTGTAGTTAAATATAAAGCAAAATATTATCTATTAGAAAATAAAAATGAAAAACAAAGTACTGCTCATTCATCTCTTATTCACGTAAAATACTTCAATATATTATAATTGAATGTATTGTACACACTCATTGTGTGATTTCAAACTTCTATGCCTGACTTTACAGTCTTAGGTCTGCATCATTTAGTCTTTTTATTGTTTCAAGAGCTAGATTTATTTTGATTTGCATCATTTACAACTATGAAACAAAACAAAGTTCACTATTTCTCACTTTATGTGATTTTAACCTCATGACAGTACTGTAATGAGGCCCAGATAATTTGTCATTACACTTATGAGAAGTGGAATTTGCAGTTTATAGAGAATGGAAGCCATCAACTTAAAAATAGATAATTACTGGAAATCTTTTGCATTCAATGAATTGGCAGATTGGGCAGGTTTATTATGCAAAACCCACCAATCAGCAATCTCTTTTTTCCATATTTAACTTATTTAGAAGGTGAAATCGAGCTTCAGTGTGAGGGCGATTATGGAATAACTAACCTGGAAAGATGTAATGGGTTTCTAATGCTAATGAGAAACTCTGAATTAGTGCCACTGCCAACCAGGCGTGAGTCAATTCTCTTCGCCCAGATCCCACGCAAATGAAACAGCTTCACATTGAAGATATGCTTATTCACCCTGCTGATGACTTTCTATTCTGAAGCATCCTGCTTTGATTTAACAGCCACACCAGCAGTAAGACTCATGGCATTTAAACACATGTACTGGCTGATTATTCCAGAGGTCTGCACTCCTGTCATCATTCAGTATTTCATTCAACAGACTCGCTCTGTATTACCTACTCAGTGTAGTTCCTCCACTGGTCAGTTTGTTTTGGAAAGCAGCCATGTTGAATTATGCAGCTCAACATCTGTGAGATGCACACACTTGCGCACACACACACATACACACACACTGATGGCAACCAAATTCTCTAGAGGCTAAACAGGCACACCATGCCCTCCACTTCAAGGTGACTTTGTACTATTGTGATACTTTTTAAGTATCTTTTTCATCTTTTTAAAAAACAACTCTCTGTGTCTCTGGAATACCAATGCATGTGGTGTTTCAGAGAGACAGATCTAAATCCGAACCACTTTATGTGAGTGTACATTTTTACGCAACAATGGAGATACTGAAGAGGTCTAACTGAGGTTTGTCTGCCTCTCTCTCTCTCTTCTGGCAGATTTTCCATATGACCTATGACCTGGCCAGTGCAGTGGTAAGAATATTTAATTTGATTGGGATGATGCTGCTTCTGTGTCACTGGGATGGCTGTCTGCAGTATCTGGTGCCTCTCCTCCAAGACTTCCCCCCTGACTGCTGGGTGTCCCTAAACGGTATGGTTGTAAGTATTACACATTCTTCTCTTTTGTTTGTTATTTTGGCATTTTGTGTGTGTGTTTATATAAATATAAAAATCAAACTGTGTATACAGTATGTGTTGACCATTCGCTAAGCCCTGCTAGCCATTAAGTTACTGTTGCTATGCCTGTCAGGTTTTCCATTCTCGCACGGGGGTTTCAATGTTAACAGTGGCAGATTTACTTCTTGAAAAGTTTTAAGATGCATTTTATTTCGGATACACTAACATGTAGTACACTGTGTACACTATGTACTTGTGTAGTGTGTGAATTTTGACGGGGTAGTGCTGTCTGCAAAGCGCGCCAACATTCGCACTATTTGACCTTCTCCTTTCTAATGGCGAATTGCAACCAAGCGGCGCATTATCGCAACATTTGATCGTGATTGTCACCCACCAAGATTGATGTGCTTTACTTGCTTGTGTGTGCAATCGCAACTGCTGCAGCTTCCTCACCCGCCATTTTCACAAGTTTGATATTTAGTTGGTGGTCCCTCCCCATCTGCTAGCTAGCTCATTAAGCTAATGTTAGCTCAATGAGCTGGTTGAAAATGCAGTCTCCTATTGACTTGATGTTTCTAGCCAACTCATTTTAAAACAAATCTTGTAAAAGTTTTCCTAAGAATGCACTTGAAGGTTACATAAATTATCTTGTGCTACAACTAAAGCTACATGTCCCAGTGAGCATCACCAGCTGGTGAAACACATAGAAGACATGGAAAAAAAGAAACAGCATTTTTGCATTTTTGTATGTATTTCAGAGTGTTATTTCATTAAAATATGGAGAACGGAAGTGAAACCAGAACTACTGGGTTCTGTTCCAGTAGTATAAAAACCCCATTCAAAATCTCATTGACGTTTATATATATAACGCTAATAACTAAAAATAAAACCTTGGAACAGAGCCTTACTCAACTGTATGTCAGTGTGTGCTCGCTTTATATGTCTAAGAAAATGTCAAAGATGGTAGTTTTTATTTCTTCTGAAATATAAAATATCTTTGTTTATTAAATAGTTTTTTTTTTTTAGTGGCCTTTAACGAAACACCATTTTTCTATACCCCTTTTTTTAACATAGCCTTTAACCCTACAATATAATTCAACCTATAATATACAGTACCTTCAACCTGTTCTCATTCCCAGCTATTCCCACATATTGATGCTTTGTCAACACCCTTGGGTACCCTTTAGTGTTGTTTTTGCATGTGTAGGTCAAGTTAGCAAGAATAAATATGCAACGTCCGTTTTGACTTTTCAAAATAAAACATAGGGCTGGGCAATAAAACAATAATGATACTTGCAATATAATTTTCCTCAATAACAGTATAACAAATGGTAATAAATGTTCAATAAATGTTTGATTTAATTAATTTGAATCACAAACAAATTAGAACTTAATTTTTCTATCAAGATATTTATTTTGTTGGAAAAAGAACGGAAAAAATATTTTACTTAATTTTATTCATGCATATTTGTTTATATTTTGTAGATATTTTATCATAATTGTTTTGAATGTTCTACCTCAGATTTGTTAAGTGATCCACTCTTTAGCAAGTGTTTGTCATGTTCTGACCATAAAGAACATTTTTGCCATGTCGTCCAGCGTTAACAGTCTGACATGTGGTTAATGTTGTGAAATGTTGCAATTTAGTTTAGGCAACAAAACTACTTGGTTAGGTTTAGGAAAGATCATGGTTTGGGTTAAAATAACTTTGTTACTTACAACGTAAGTTGTAACATTATAAGTTAACATTATAAGTTAACGTTATAAGTTAACGTTAAAGTTAACGTTATAAGTTGCTTTGTTACTTTAACTAAAAAGAATCAATGGTGACTTTGTGTTTCACATGGAATTGAACACCGGTCTCTTGGTGAAAGTCTGGTTTGTGAAGTCTACTCTGACTTTTCTGTTATTTATACTAGGCCTACTTTTAGTGTTGAACAAAGATAAAGGGCTTCCCTTAATGCATTGAACTATGATGCTAAACATGACAAAGCGTGGGTATTTGACACTTTGGGAATGAGAACCTGGCCTCTGGACTTCACCATCAATCGGGAAGGGGTTTAATGAACAGTCAATTTATATTTATACTTCATAGGTGTGTTGTCAATAGATTGTGTATAGCCTCAGAACAAAGTTATAGATAAGTTCATTGCAGTGGAGGGGTTTAGAAGTGTAATCTAGTGTTGAGATTTAAGAGCTGCCCCTTAAATTTCAATGATTCGAATGATCAGAGGCCCCGCTTCAAACCTCATGTTGTCAGTTCAAGCACTTTATGCTGCATCACAATACACAGAATACCAAAATTACTTTTAGTTTCACAAACAAAACAGTCTACCTGACCCTTTAATTCCTTACCACTCTGATGCTTGCAGCTATGGTGGTGAACACTTTCGAGGTTGACTTATCCACTCCTGAACCAAACCAGACGCTGTTAACGCTTCCTCTACCGCTGTCCAGCCAGTGTGAACACAACCTCGGCTGACAGTGCTGTCACAAACCACACTCTACAGTGGACTTTAATTAGAACGCACACTTGTTATTTCTCTGACAGTGTGAAAGTTTGACATTTTCACATCAAAGGTGATGATTTTGTTAGGTGCCAGTAAAGGCATTAACATGTGAGTCTTACTGGCAGGGCTGGACTGGTAATCTGGCACACTGGGCAAATGCCTGGTGGGCCGACACCTTTGGGGCCGGTGTAACGTAAATTATGTGTTTATATAACTGTTTAAAAATGGGCCAACGATCGTCCCATGAAGCGCAGACAGCGGCCCATTGGGTAATTTTCTATACTGACACTGGGCCAGCCCAATCACATCTCCTACTAGCCCCGACCCCCTCTGCTCTCTGTTTCTTGCGTTACCCCCCCCCAATAAAAAAATCTTCTGACAGATATGTTTGCTACCGGGGGCTGCAGTAGCTTCAGCGTCAGCTGCAGTACCAGATGTAGTGCAGGCATAGGCACTTGAAAGAGTAAAGGAGAGCTGTGGCCACTGCCAGGCAGAGGAGGAGGCATGAGACAGCGGAGCAAAGTAACAAAGTGACAGAGCTGAGGACGAGAGAGCTGGGGGAGTGGTAGCGGTAAGCATGGAGTAGCTCAACCTGTAGGGAGGGAGAAGGGAGGTGGGGTCATTTACACTGGGGACATGTACCCACCACTTTTTGAAAGCTGTTCTGAAAAATAGCTTGCACCAAGAATGTTAATTAACAAATAAAAATGCTATGAGAAAAGGTTTATTTGCACAATAAGCCTGTAATGCAATGTAAATATAGATGAAAACTGTGTTGTCCAAAAAACGTAACCTAGTCTAAAAACAATATTTAAGCTACTGATTACTGTATTATATTTTTATATTCTGAATTGTCACCTGCCACTTGAATTTTGTGCTTCCCTGGTGCAGAAAATGTCTCCAGAATGCAGGATATTAGTGTTTAATGCTCAAAATCTTAATAAACTATTTCATCATTACATTTTTTCCCCTAAATAGTAGGCCTATTAAAATATATTCTAGTCTTGTTGTCATGGCCCCAAACCTGTGCAATGTTATGTCTCATGGGCTAAGTGTCTCATGATCTGAGCCCTTAAATGGAAGGATGGTGTATTGTGAGGGGTGTCCGACTGATTTTGGTGAGCCGCCTGCCAGATTTTTTGTCCCAGTCCAGAACTGCTTGCTGGTACAAACGATGACATGTAGGCTACTGTTCAATCTAGGGCCGGCCGCACTGCACAGTGAGCTGGACTGTAGTTAGACCATGAATAATATAGTATTTCTCATAATTACAGGTGTTTTGAGAAATAAAGTATTTTCTATGAAAAAATAAATAAAATATATATATATATATATATATACAAAAATTCCAACACATGCACACGTCATTCTACTTAATGAGGAGCTGATTAAGTGACACCTGAGACAAATTTTATTAACGAGGAAAAGTATAAAAAACACTGTTGTGGTAATCACTATCCTCTTGCAATAGGACCAGCTGGACGGCAAAAACAGTACTAGTAGTACCTCAAAGGTAATCTGAACAAAAAAAGGAACAATTGACCATGCCAAAAGAGTTAAAAAGAAAAGTTTTGATTGAGAAAAAGAAGGGTTCAGTTCTAGCTTTACTGGTAGTAGGATACAGTGAGCGTCAGGTTGCTTCCATCCTTAAAATTTCAAAGACAGCAGTTCATAAGAACAAGGTCAAGCAACAGACATTGGGGACAACAAAGCTACAGACTGGGATGACTGCCAACTCATTCGAATGTCACTCAAAAACCGTAGGATGACATCAAGTGATTTATAAAAACAATGGTAAACAGCAGCTGGGGTGAAGTGCATGGCAAGGACTGTTCGAAATAGGCTCCTAGGGGCAGGGGTGAAAATGTGCAAAGCCAGAAAAAAGCCCTTCATCAATAAGAAGCAAAGACAAGCCAAGTTTGAAAAAGACCCTAAGGATCAGACCGTAGAGGACTGGAATAAGGCCATCTTCTCTGATGAGTCCAATTTTCAGCTTTGCCCAACACCTGGTCGTAATGGTCAGACGGAGACCTGGAGAGGCCTATAAGCCACAGTGTCTGGCATCCACTGTAAAATTTGGTGGAGGATCGTTGATGATCTGGCGTGCTACCTGTATATATATATAAATTATAATGAATATAGTAATTAATATATTGATATATAACATTATACCAACAGTATACTATTAACTGAACACTAAACTCCTTATTTAATGTTATAATACTAATACACTCATTTACACTAGTTCCTCCTCCAGGTTGTGGATACAGCCTCTGCAGTGGACAGATGTAGATTTAGATCCACAATGCCAGTGTGCCAATATTTGCTCCTTTTAGTTGTCTCCTCCTGAGAGCAACACACACCCCTTGTTCTGTTTTATATCTGTTTTACTAAAGTTATTGTTATAAATATAAATAATAAAAAACATTTCAAAATGTCAGTATTTTGTGCATTTGACAATCAAGCAAGTAG